AATGGCAAGTCAAAAGGAACATAAACATGGATCAACCCTGTCTCAAAATTCAAGCATGAATCAAGCTTTATAGAGCATTCTTTTGAAGGATCTTCCCCGTATTTAGAGGATAAGATTGTTGCATATGATCCTCTTTCCTTTTATTAAAATCTTCTGCGATTCTTATCTTCAATAATTTCTTTTTTGATTCTTTATGCGTTATCTCCATAAGAAAATTCTGTTCTTTGTTTTCTTATGATAAATAAATCTACATGGTTCCCTAAGAAATAATAAAATAAAACAACCAATTAATAAACCACCTTAGTAGCAAATCAAAGAATCAAATAATTAATAAGATAAAGCATGAACCAATACTATATGATAAAATTCAGGCCTGAATCAAGCTTCATACATGGTCATATATGTTTCTTTATGGGTTACATATATAAGGGAATTAAATTATTTTTATTTATTTTAATCTTACCGTGATGGTGTAAGAGCCCAAGCCCACCGCTAGCATATATTATCCGCTTTGACCCATTACATATCACCATCAGCCTAACGGTTTTAAAATGTGTCTAATATGGAGAGGTTTAACCTCATGGTTTTAAAACGCGTCTACTCGGGAGAGTTTCCACACCCTTATAAGAAATCTTTTATTTCTCCTTTCCAACTTCCAACAGATGTGGATCTCACAATCCACCCCTTGGAGGCCCAGCATCCTCACTGGCACACCGGTGATTGGATCTGATACCATTTATAACAGCTCAAACCCACCGCTAGCCGATATTGTTCGCTTTGGCCCGTTACATATGTTCGCTTTGGCCTGTTACGTATGTCCGCTTTTGCCTGTTACGTATCGTCGTCAGTTTCACATTTTTGCTCCCCTCTCCAACCAATGTGGGATCTCACAATTTGACCCTCTTGGAGGCCCAACATCCTCCCTAGCAAATCATCTGTTAACTGGCTCTAATATTATTTGTAATAGCTCAAGCCTACTCTTACTCGATATAGTCCGTTTTAGTCCGTTACACATCGCCGTCAGTCTCACGATTTTAAAACGTGTATGCCAGAGAGAAGTTTCCACACCTTTGTAAGGAATGTTACATCCCTATAATTTATTATTATATTATCAACCTTTCTTGCACAATTTATTCTCCATGATCTCATCATGTCCAAATAAAATAAATAAAAACAATTCCTTTGAATTGATGGGCTCTCGAGTCGTGAGATCGAGGAGGGCTTGGGGGAGGGTTTGCACCTTTTTGACAGGACGATATTTGGTTCTGTAGGTTGACATGACGGCGATTCTTAAGGCATTGTCATCTTTTCTTTGAAATGAATACACTCCATCGTTATCGAATCTGATTGTGTGGAGGCAATCCGTTCTTTAAATCGGGAGGATGAGAATTTGACACCGATCAAATTGTTGGCGAAGAAGGTGCTGTGCGTGGTATTTGCCACATATGTAGGCTGTAAAATTGTGTTGTTGATGGCATTGCAAATATTGCAGTCCTTGCAACTTTTCAGATTGGCTTCAGGCCTTTGTTGATGCCAATTGTTTAGGTGTAAACTAGTTTGTTACTTGCTTCGTTTGTAAGAAGTAAAAAGTAAAACAATCGAAAGTTCAACTCAAGCGTTCTTTTGTACACAAATAAAATAGAAAAAGCTGGAAACTCAAAGGAGGAAGACATGGATGAAGAAAGATAAGAACTTTATTAGAGCTATAAGATTAGGTTTGATAAAATGTTGTTGCAAACCTACAAGATTTATGCTAATCGAAAGTCACTATCGAGTATATACGTAAATAAACATTTAAAACTTCATCATAAACATTGACATGTAATTACTTGTTCAAAAACATCTTTAAAACAATATAAGAAAATACTAAAAAAAACATTTAAAAGTAAAAACACCCTATACTAACTTAAAGTCTAAGAAATGAAATACCACTCTTTTATGCATGGACAATGATCTTTACTTGTGATGTGCTCCTCCTCAGCCTAGTGATGTGATCTTTACTTTTACCTAAAATAGCACACAACTTGAATATTTTTTAAAATACTCAGTAAATGTCTCTACTATTGAATCCGGGAATGCAACTCATGGTTAGAGACCTATCGTTAAAATCATCGTAGAGGTGGCCTCCAGTCCAAACAAAATTGGAAGTGTAGTACTTTCCTACACACGTGCGAATGTAAATCCCCAAACGGTCCGCACCCCCTGGACCCATTGTAGTCGGGCTAGTTGTTCATAGTTAGACGTCTAGAGGTCAACAAACCCCTGAGTATGATGCAAGACATGATCATCATTATCGTCATCATCATAGTGTACGTGTTGATACTCATCATCATAAATAGAGAAGTAACCCGATGTATATGACACACAATATGCATGATGTCCCTATAATTTTCATCTTTAAATCATTCTCGTGCCACAAACCTTTACATCATTCACACATTAGTAACATGCATGCATTAACCTTCATACATTCATCATTATTAACATTAACTAGGGTTGTGTCTTAGAAAAAATTGTCGTCATAATGCATCACATCATTTTAATATGAAATATCATCATATTAAGTCATCTCATCATTATATATCTTACATCATCATGTTATCATGGATCATCATCATCATGTCATCATCATGCACATCATAACATCATCATATAACATAAAACATAAATGACACGTGCAAGGGCCACTAGGAACGTGTCATCATACATAAGGTAAGTCTTTCAACCACTAAGACCACTTACTTGGTTGACCTAGGCTGAAGCTACTATGACCTATTGATAGGCCGAACGGTTCAAGTGGGATGATAAAATGAAGTAAGAGACTTCCTTTTATAGTTGAGGCCACCCAACTTCTCAAATTAAGCAACTTGGGACAATTTTCCTTTCCTTTTTTATTTTCTAATTTTTGGGTTATTACAATTGTACCCTAATGCCACAACCAAAATGTCAATTGTTGTAGCGGAAGCGGAAGCAAGATCGATCGTATTCACACTCACAAATATAAATTAAACAAAGAAACACAAAGATTTACGTGGTTCAGAGAGAAGAAATTCCCCTACATCCACGGGTGGAATTGATACGTTCGACGACATGATAATTTTTATGATATGACATACGTGCAACATGAATGATATGTGATATGATTGACATGGAAATGACAAATTGGCATAATGTACAACCCTGATATACTCATGAAAAGTTATGATATGAAGGAAGACGCTAGCGGGGTTGTTATACATGATAATGAAAAAGGAAAAATGTTGGAACCTCATTTATTATCGTGTGTTCATGCATCAGGAGATACTTCTTCTCCTTTTACAATAGTACGGACGTGTATGCTAATAAGGCAGGGAAGCGATCATTATGTTTGTAATAATGTTGTCATGACAACTGCTATTCCTAATGGGTGGCTGGCATCGACCGCTACCAGAGAATGCTCACTCAACCAGAAAGGGTCCCAGGAGGTGTGCGAACCGACTAGTGGGTTCATACTCGCACTTGTGAACTGTGTGTAGAAAATTAAGAACACATCCAATTACTCGCTTAGGAAAGTAGACTAATTTGATAGGTCTCATTCATGATTTGTATGTGCTTGCCTATCAGGGGGTCGCTTACTGAGTATTTCTTAAATACTCAAGTTACATACTACTTTTATTTTTCAAGCAAAGGCAAGGCTCCTCTGTACGGCTGACGTTGGCATTGCAACCTAGGAGATAGTGACACATGCATGGGGTAACTATACTTATTTTTGTAGACTAAGGTTAGAAAAGGGTGTTTTTAATTTTAATGCTTATTTATTTCATTTGGTATTTTCATGTATAGTTTTAAAGATGTTTTCAAACATGCAAGTCCATGACACTATTTTAAGATGAATATATGTTTAATGATAAAGTTCCAACGCTTATTTCCATACAAAATGATTACATTATGATGACGGTAGCAACTCTAGGTAAGTATAAATTTAGGGTCGTTACAGCTTCTTTAAAAGCTTCCGTGATTGTCGTATACTCTGCTTCGATGAGGCAATGCAATAGTAAATTGCAATGTTGAATGCCAACAAACCATTTCACCAACCATTGTGGACAATAACCAGCATTGAATCGTTGCTTATCCATCTCCTCTTGTCTCTTGGAAGCAATTGACATGTCATCAACATACAAGATAAAATAGATAAACAAGTCATCATCAAGGAACCAAAAATACATACAATGGTCAAATTGACTATGAGTGTACTTACGTTCCATCATGAAGTGATGGCACTTCATATACCATTGATGAGAACAACCCATACAAAGATTTCTTCAATCCACAAATGCCACAACCAAATTCTCTGATACCCATTGTTGTAGTGGAAGCGGAAGCAAGATTGATTTTACTCACAAACCCTCAAATATATATTAAACAAAGAGACACAAAAATTTACGTGGTTTGGAGAGAAGAAATTCCCCTACATCCACAGGTGGTAGCCAATCAATATAACCAAAGTGTTTATAGGTGCATCTCTCACACTCCTACACTACAAAGTCTCTCTTACAAAATTTCTCCTAATTACCTCTAGACAAACACAAAATGACAATGACTCCACATCTCAAAACAATGCTAGAGAAACCTTATATAGACATAGCAATATTAATTATTATACATGAATCGAAACAATATTAATGTTCATACATAAATCAAGATGATTCAAGTGTCAATATAAGAGAATGTACCCATATATGAGAAGAACCAAATGAATCTAATAGACTCCCAAATAGGGAAATGTACTTAAACTATTCATGAATCAAACAGATTCATGAAAATTCTCAACTTACAATCCTTTCAACCCAATTAACAATCTATCACAAACTTCTTAATGGACACACACTAAAAAGGTAATTGTGAAATTTCACGCAAACTCCTCAACATTAATGTCTTACAAACACTCAAAGAAAACAAACGATTATGGTAAAAGATAATTAAAGAAGAATCAAAGTGATCAAACACGAAAAGAGATGGAGAAATTTATTTTACTTCATACCATCGATAGAAAACATAAAAGATACATCATCAAACATAAGTTTATTTGTTATTGCAATTTATTTAGTATATTCTCCTAGTAAATGTTCTAGAAGGTTGCAATAACAGAACACAATATGATAATAAAATATATAACATAGAAGATTCATGTATAATTTTCAGGTTGTGAGAAAATTGTGGAACCATTTTGCTGAGTCTTTTGGCATTCTCATCAAATTGTGTTTGAAATCAATGTAGGTGAGACCAAATCGTACAGTGTATCCACTTGCCCATTCAAAATTGTCCAATAATGACCATGCAAAATATCCTCGAACCCTTACACCAGCTCTACAACATTTTCCAAAACATAACATAATTACATTCAACTATTGGTGAAAGAGTAGGAACAGAAGTTATGTACGAATAAATAAGCTAAAAAAGTGATTAGTAGTTTAATCTTGAACTTAGTTACTTACTTCATTGCCTCATGTAGATAATAGAGATGATCATGAAAATATTTGACTCTACCCTTGTCTCTAATCAAATGATGAACATGGCAGCTGTCAAGGTCGAGGTATCCTGCCATTGTGAGTCTAATTAATCAACAAATTAATCAAATATAGACCTTATTTTTTCTTGATACAATTAAATTATAAAGTTATTTTTTGTACCATTTTCTGTGATGTAAATAATTGGATTCTTATAGTTTTTCTTTATATGTATCAACAACTCCTTTAAACCTACTGGATAAACTGCTAGCCACGATGATGGGTCCACCTACACCATTATGAACACATAAGTAGCAAACTGTTAGATTAAAAGGTGACAATGGCATAAAATTAATTTAAACTTCATAGTATAGCAAAAGAATGCACACTAATATTGTGTTAATTCACCATTGAAGAAACTTTGAACACTCGTTTACCTTTGGACCAATTGGAACTCCGTCGCGATCAGCTATCGTACGAACATATCATACAAAGTTAGATCTTAGAATAGATGTGATATATGTGAAATAAACGCCAAATATATTTGGGATAGTTTTTTAGAATTGTCTTCCAAGTCGAACACTTTCTAACAAAAAGTATGAGTACGTAAGAGTTCATACTTGAAAGAGTTGCATGAATATCATTCAAATAGCTTGGGTGTGGATGAACGTCATTGGGATTGTCTTTTGCATAATTAGCTGTGTAATAGTTTATGCCAAGAAAATCGAAGGAGTTCATGATGAAATTGCTTTCGTCCTTTGTGAATGTGGGCAATCTCCTCCCCACCAAATCTCTCATGCTTTGTGGATAATCTCCATAAACGATTGGATTTAAGAACCTAAATGCATTTAATTTGGTCATATATTTATAAGAAAATGCTAATGATATAATAGAACGAAGCTCACAGTTCAAGTCCACTACTAGCAGATATTGTCCTCAAAACACGTCTGCTAAGGAGATGTTTCCACACATTTATAACGAATGCTTTGTTTCTCTCTCTGACCGATGTGAGATCTCACGATCCACCTCTCTTCGGGGCCCAGCGTTGTTGCTGGCACTCATTTTCTTCTCCAATCGATGTGGGATTTCAAAATCCACCACCTTCGGGACCCAGCGTCCTCGCTAGCACTCGTTTCTTTCTCCAACGGATATGAGATCTCACAATTAGTTGTAAGATCCCCCATCGATTGGAGAGGGGAACAAAACGTTCTTCATAATTGAGTGAAAACCTCTCTCTAGCATACCCATTTTAAAACTATAAAGGAAAACTCTAAAGAAAACCATATCGGCTAGCGAAGGACTTAAACTGTTACAGGAATTAATATTTACTTACCAACCAAGTGAAAAATCAAAGGCTCGATCTCTAGCTTTTCCATCTGCCTCAGAGTTTGAATATGGTTCATACCATCTTGACACCAATGTGACGCCAATCTCACCCTTTTGTTCTGCCTAAGAATTCCATTTAACATCACTACCTTAATGTTTAGGTTAAGAGGAGAAGATGTATCGTAACTTTCAACTTATAACTTTTTTTTTAAGAAAAATAAAAGAGAACCTGATATTTGGTCTTGTAAAGATTGGCAGCCGCAGCGTGTGCAAGAATTAGGTTGTGACCAACAATGTATGGTTCGGTGCCGGAATTACCAGCAAGATAGCGACATGGATCCCATTCTGCACCCCTACCGGGTGCATATTCTGCCATTACATAACTTTTGAAGGTGAAGATGAACTGTTCATTTAAGGTAATCCAATGCTTCACTTTTTTTCCAAACTCTTCAAAGCAAAACTCTGCAAAGTCTCGGAAATGGCATCTGCAAACAAAGCTCTCCCTCAAAACTAGGGAATTCTTTTTATATTCATTAACCTCTCATTTTGTTAGAATTAGTGTGGGAAAGAGCTAAGCCCACAAATATTGTCGACTTTGACTTATTAAGTATTGCTATCAGTCTCACAGTTTTAAAATATGTTTATTAGTGAAAGGTTTCACACTCTTATAAAGAATGTTTCATTCTCCACTCCAACCGATATGAGATCTCATAATTTCCCCCTTGGGGTCCAGTGTCCTCGTTGGCACACCATTCGGTGTCTGCTCTAATATCATTTGAGAGAAACCCTTGAAGGGAGAGCCCAAAAGAGACAATATTTGCTAACGGTGGGCTTGAGCTATTACAAATAGTATCAGAGCTAGACATTGGGTTGTGGGCTAGCAAGGACGTTGGGCCCCCAAGGATGGTGGATTGTGAGACTCCACGTCGATTAAAGAGGTGAATGAAGTATTCCTTATAAAGGTGTGGAAACCTCTCCTCAACAGATACGTTTTAAAACGTCAGACTAGACTGACGGCGGTACATAATGGACTAAAACAAATAATATATGTTCACAGTAGAAATAGGCTTAGACTATTACAGTGTATCACTTAACACTTACTCGGAAAGTAAATAGAAAGGATCCAAGCTTGATTAAATTCTATGGTTCAATTTAAAGAAATTGTAAGTGTAAAGGTAAAAATCTTATACCTTTTATTTGATTTTTTTCAAAAGAAATGTTATTGAAATGAAAATTTATGATCTTTTGTTACTAATAACTGATGATCTTATTTTAGAACAATAACCCTTTTCAAAAATCACTCATACATATCCTTTCACGTTTATGTTTAATACGATAATCTCATAAAAAAAAAAAAAAAATACTTACACAAATTGACGATTCAAGCAGCCACCATATTCGTTTTCCAACGCTTGAGGAACATCCCAATGAAATAGTGTGACATAAGGTTTGATGCCTACAGATTTGTTGACCCATTTTGAGATTAATAAAACTTAATTAAGATAATCAATGAGATTAATCACTAATTAAATGAATAATAGAAGAAGAACCCACCATGTTTAAGCAGTTCATCGATGAGATGATGGTAGTAGCGTATTCCATCTATGTTCTTACCCCCACAAAGCTTTCCCGCTGAGAAGAAGATTTTAAGAAGAACAATGTTTATAAAGTTAAGCTTCGAAAACGTATATTAAAGTGAATTTTGAGAATTGGTTTGTTTATCTTTTAAGTCCTTACTTGGAAAAATTCTGGACCAAGCGATTGAGAATCGATAAACATCAAAACCTATACTCTTCATGATGGCAACGTCTTCCTGCATTGTGAACAATTATTTGCTAATTATACCTAATATTTTGCATTTGGTACCCTAATCCCTAACTGGCATTTGCTTCATGGTCGAAGAGTTTGTAACGACCCTAAGTCCACCACAAGTATATATTATCTTTTTTGGACTTTCTCTCAATATTTTTAAAATACGTCTATTAGTGAGAAGTTTTCACACCCTTATAAAGAATTCTTTATTGTCTTCTCTAATCGATGTGGGATCTCACAATCCACCCTCCTTCGGGGCCAGCGTCCTCACTAGTACACCCAGGTATTTGGTTTTAATAGCATTTGTAACGGCTCAAACTCACCGCTAGCAGATATAGTTCTCTTTAGACTTTCTCTCAAGGTTTTTTAAAACGCGTCAGCTAGTGAGAGGTTTTCACACCTTTATAAATAATGTTTAGTTGTCCTCTCCAACTGATGTGAGATCTCACAGGGTTTATTGAGCTAGACGAGTTTTGCTCATCCACTCTTATGATGCTATTTACTTCTTTCAATTTTAGTCACCTTATAGCGATGATACTCATCAACAGCTATATCTCCATTTTTGTGATCAGCAATCCTCTCTGAAATTAACAAATAGACAACATTGAGAGAGAGAATTATATGTGAAATTCAAAATAAACACCAATGAGAGAGAAAGAGAGAGACCGGGATGTTTGTGAGTGTAGGTATCCCAAATACTTGGCCCTTTGCAATAATTAAAGGCAGCACCTTCATACTGAACAAACCATAATAAATCAATACTCATTCTTTGTTCTTAATTTGTTATTATTTGTATATGCAACTTTTAGTCAACCTGGTAAGCTGAAGATGCTGCACCAAATACGAAGTCTTTAGGAAAGCTGCTTCGCCTGACCACATCGATAGGCTGGCAGTTGTTATTGAAAACTGCGAACATAGGAAGCACAATTTTAGGGAAGAACACAATATAACCATCTTTGAAACCCATCGCTGAGTTTGGTTTGGTTTGCAGGTGAGACTTTTTGGCACCAAACTCATATAGAAAAGATATGTAGCAATAGAGAGAGCTTTAAATAATATAAATATTGTGAAAGATAACACTTGATGAAGTTAAAAAAAACCATAAATGTAACGCTCGTGTCCAAGATTTAGATCAGAATTCGAAATTCGGATTTGGCACCTAATGACCTCGACATTCCTCTACATCCCCTGCGATATTGTTACGTTACCTACTTTTTGCTTATTAAGAGCGATGACTATTATCACTGACCAACACGATACCTACTCTTCATTTCTTAAGAGTAAAGATTATCCTCACAGACCAACACGAGTTGTTTCAGCATGCTTTGTCCTCATCATGTACATCCTACGAAAATTTTCAAAAGGTCACCAACATAGAATTGCTCCAAGCAATGCACATTTTTATATGTGGTTTCAAAATAACTCTCATTCAGATGTGGTTTTAGTTCATTTATTTACCCATTCTTTACTTGGGTGTCACATGCCCACCAGCTTCCACCTTAGTTCGTCTTCGAACCACATCTTATTGGGAGAGGAACCACTCTGATACCATTTTTAACACCTCATGCCCAGGATTCGGATAAGAATTCGGAATCCGAATTCGACACCTAATGGTCCCGACATTCCTCGCTTCTTAAGAGTGAAGATTATCTCCACAGACCAATACGAGTTTTTCCAGTATACTTTGTCTTCATTCACATGCATCTTAGGGAAATTTTCAAGAAGTCATTCAATATAGAACTGCTTCAAGCAAAACATTTTAACTATCGAGTTCTTATGATTGAGCTACCGAATAGGAAGGTGCACCTTGTTGGTATAGGTAGTAACTTTCATTTCCTCTAAGTCTTTCTTAATCATTCTAATACTCCGGATAACTTTCATTTGGATGTAGTCTCAGCTCATTCATGAACCCTTCCTACCCTTCTTTTTACTCAGGTGTCATAACAAAACAACAAAAATATAAGACGAACATATTGTCGAAGGACATGTAATGATTGATTGGAGGTAAAGAATAAAGATTATTGAGAAATTTTGAGGTTGGAGGAAGAAAAATAAATGAAGCTAGTTCATTTACCTTTAGCCATTCTGCTTCAAGAGAAGTAAGGGTTTTGCTGCTTTGATCCTTGGAGAGAGTTTCAGATCAAAGGTGGCTTGGTTGCTCTTTGTGGTGCACTGCAGGCTGTCGCTCCCTCCTTTTTATAAGGTTCCAAGACGTGAGATGTATTTACTAGTAGTCTTTTTATTTATTTGTTTTGTTTCTACTTTTTTCAATGATGCTTTATTCATATTCGATTTTTTTTGTCTTCTTGTAAACGATTTTTATTTTCAAACTAATTTAATTTCATTTACTAACTTCATGTAAGATTGATTTATATTATTCTTTATTTTGGGATTATGTTATCATTTTTTTTAACTCCGACTCGTGGTGACAATTACACTCTTACGATAGTAGGACAACGACTGTACGACACTTGTTCTAACCTAACAAACAAGTCAGCCGTGAGAAACGCAGATTTCACGGACAACGTCGGCGTATGCTTGAGCCTCAGGTCATGTTTGAGAGAAATGATTTAGCAAATGTGAGCGAGGAAATACGTTGAAAGCAATTTTAAAGAAAACAATGTTATAAATTAAAAGTGTGTAGGCAACAACAATTACTTTGATAGCATATAACTTGGATATGAAGAATTGACAACTAATTGCATCTTTCTATGGTACATTTTGGTGCATTTTAGCCCCAGCGGGTGTAGATATGATTTTGGTAAACAGTCACACACCCCTGTACACAACAATAATAGTAAAAATTTATCTAATATAAAAGAAAATAAAAAAAGTTTGAAACTAGCATGCAGGTCACAGACAACACGTCCTTGACAAGTATGACTGAGGAATTTGACATGTGACCGCATGCAACATGCCTTTTGTTAGACGAACACGACTCTCCACAATGGTATGATATTGTCCACTTTGAGTATAAGCTCTCATGGCTTTGTTTTGGGCTCCTCAAAAGACCTCATACCAATGCCAATGGAGTTAGTATTCCTCACTTATAAACCCATGATTATTCCCTAAATTAGCCGATGTGGGACTTTCATCATCCAACACCTCCCATCGAACAAAGCACGCCTCCTTTGGAGTCTTAGTCATTTTTTCTTTTTGGAGTTCTTTGTTCGACATTCGAGGATTTGCCAATCTATTGGCACGGCTAAGTTTAGGGCATGACTCTGATATTATGATGGACGAACACGACTCTCCACAATGGTATGATATTGTCCACTTTGAGCATAATCTCTCATGGCTTTGCTTTGAGCTTCCCAAAAGGCCTCGTACCAATGGAGTTAGTATTCCTCACTTATAAACCCATGATCATTCCCTAAATTAGCCGACGTGGGACTTTCATCATCCAACACCTTTGACAAGCACGATCGTGACACAGGATATAAGTGCATACATAAGTGTCCTCAAAGCAACATGTGGTGAAATCGCATTGGCTGGAGTGCCGAGCGAGTCGGGTCAGCTGGAGCAGATTGCCCTCAGGTCGGACACAGGTGGTGAGTGGATTGGCACGTCTTCAAAAACTATGCAGCACATACTAATTCAGCCAAACCCAAATTCAATTCACAATTTTGATTTCCTTCCTATTTTCTTCTCATTTTCATAACTTTCTCTAAATAACTTAGAATCCACTTTAAACTTCACCAAAGTCCGTAGAATTTTTTTTTCTTAATTCTTCATCAGCCACAACCAGAAATAATCAGTACAAAGTTGGTCTTGAATTTAAAATTTACCATTTCTTAACATTCGCGGGAACATTGTCTTTCCATCCGAATTAACTCTTGCTTCCTACATAAATCTTGCGTGAAACTCTTCCGATATCAACATGCTAAGAAGTTGGACCTTAATTCCAAGAAAGATTCTAGACTTTGAAAGAAAACCAAAATCAAGAACACGAAAAGCTTATCTTTGATTCTTCCTTAATTCTTGATAGGTTTGATCATATCAAAATCTCATAATCGTTCTCCAATGCCTCAAGCATTTTTTTTCCTTTTTTTTTCTTTCGTTCTCTTAATCATACTAATTTGATTGGGGCTAACGAAACCTCTAATTAGGATTAAGTAGTCAAAAGCTTATAACGATTCTCCAAGGCTGTCTTTGTATGCGAATCAATTTTGACTTCTTTCATGAAAGTTCTCCAATATCAACATACTAAGAATGCATAACTTAATTCTAAGAAAGACTTTCAAATTTGAAGAAAAATTGAAATCAAGAACACGAAACGCTTATCTTCAGTTCTTCCTCGATTCTTGACGATTCTCGCAACACCTTTATGCATTTTTTTTTTTTTTTTTTAAGGAAGTTTGACAAAGTTCCAACTTCAAACCACCTTTTCGAGTTGATTTCCACGTTCTCTCTCTAAAGACTGAAGCCCCATTTTTTTTTCTCTATTTCCCCTTTGATTTCTTTTCTCTTTTCCTTCATCATACAAATCTAACTAGGACTCATGGAGACCCCAAATTAGGGATAGATTATCAAAGGACCAATTTACCTTCGAGTTTGACTTCGACCGATTTTCTTAGTTTTTTACTATTTTCTTAGGCAATAAAATCTCATAAGTTCAACTTTAAAAGAAAAAAAAAATCAAGTATTTAATTTCTTGTCGGAACTCGGGTGTTACATCCTAGAACCAGATTAGTCGTTCAAAATATAAATCGTCAAGATCAAGTTATAGGATGTTCATCGATCACTCGTGAAACGATCAAGTCGTTGGTTGTGCCATGTGGTCTATCACCATAGGAAATTATTTTCGAACTTGTGTACTTTATTGTATGCCTACAAGTACTTTAAGAGATCTTTCACTATCCTCTCTATCTTTGTTCATATACGAACACATTGGAGCATTTGGTAAAGGTGGTGAGTCACCGTGGACAAACCCCATGATCCCCCTCAATGAACCAAATACCTCTCTCTATCTATCATTTTTAAACTTAATGGCAAGAATCCACACCTGATTCTCTTACTTTTATCTTTTTGTAAGGCACAAAATGATTGATTTACTTGATGCCAAATATATGTCCAAGATGCAAGTTTACTCATAAGAAGAACAAAGTTGATATATACTAAGATATACTTCGTCAAAGGATCAAAGCATGGATCGATCCTTTTTCGTTTTCTTCTCAAGGATCTCATCCTCTTTCCTTTTTTGTTAAATAAAATCCTTTGTTTCGATTCTCATCTTCAATAATTTCTTTTTTGATTCCTTACTTGTTATCTCGCCCACAAAATTCTGTTCTTTGTTTCTTTGTTTTCTTATGATAAATAAATCTAAACATTTCCCCTAGAAATAATCAAATAAAACAACCAATTAATAAAAAAAAAGATTTTTTTTTTTTCCTCAAACCACCTGGCGATTAATGATAATAGCAAATAAAAGAATCAAAGAACTGAAGCTCAATCTCAAATCCACATCAGTTGGAGAGGGAAATAAAGTATTTAAGGGTATAGAAACCTCTCCCTAGCAGACGCGTTTTAAAACCGTGAGGCTGATGGCGATACATAATGGGCCAAAATAGACAATTTTTACTAAGAGTAGACTTGTGTTGTTATAAATGATATTAGAGCCAGATGTCATGGTCATGTTCGTCCAAGGCGTGTTGCCCATGGCCGCATGCCCATGACAAGCCGTTTATGTATTTAGAGTGTGAAAATCCTAATTTGATCTCAAGAGAGTTCAGTAAAAGGTATGCACTTTTTATCATTGACTAACTTTGAAGAGCTAAACGAAGCTTAACTCTGAAATATTGTTGATGGATAGTTTATAAGAGAAAATTAAGTTATCATCAGAGTGCATAAAATAGATACGATATATACATTATATGGCTGATATCGATTCGAAGCTTTTTCAAACTTTGCATGTGAATTTCATTGATAAAATTATACCAAAATTTGAGAGAGAAAAAACACACTAAAAGAGAAGGCAAGCTTCGTTTCATTGATAATCAACGCCAAAATCATAAAGATCAAAACATAAGACAAGGTTTTGCTATTGCAACTTTATTTAGCTACTTCTTTCTATGAGTAGTCTTTAAGAAACTTGCAATAACATATAACATATAAAAGTTCACCAAATAGCAAGAACTTGGTAGCTGAAACATCTCTAGATCTTGAGGAAATTGGTGAACCATTTCAGTGAAAGTTTTGGTATTCTTTTCAAGTCGTTTAAGAAATCAATATAGATGAGGCCAAAGCGCTCGGTATATCCCGATTGCCATTCAAAATCGTCCAATAACGTCCATGCAAAGAATCCTTTTACCTTTACTCCATCCCTATAATATTTGATTCAAATCATTTATCGCCAACATGAGAAAAGAAAAAAAAGAAATAACTTACTCCATTGCTTTGTGAAGATAATAAAGATGTTCGTTGTAGAATTCTGCTCTCTTCTTATCATCAATCAATTCCTTAAAATTAGGACCATCATAGTCAAAATATCCTGCACGATGTATAACTTTTATGAATAAATAAAATAAAATAAATAATTAGGAGGATGGAACAAAATTTTTGTTCTATTACCATTTTCTGTGATGTAGATAACTGGATCGTTATATTTTCTTTTAATGTCCATCAACGCATCCTTTAACCCTCTTGGATAAACCGCGAGCCAAGACGATGCATTCACCTTAAAGACGAACAAGCATAAGATGTTTATATCGTTTTTCAAATTTCATCCTAAGAGAAAGCTTAGACAATTTACCTTTGGACCAAGTGAAGGTTCATCTGTAACGATCATACGAAGTGTAATTAGAGAGATTTAAATGAAGAAACCTAAAATATAAGCAAATATCATTTTGTTTATGAGTAAGAAGTATAGAAGTAGGAAGAATCACGTACTTAAAGAAATGGCTCCAGAATCAGTGAGGTAGGATGGACGTTGAGCTGGTTTGTCATCATTTTTTGCATAATTGGATGTGTAGTAGTTGACTCCAAGAAAATCATAGCTTCCTTTTATCAAAATTCTTTGTTCTTCTGTGAACTGGGGCAATCTTTCTTTTACTCGGGATATCATAGTCTCTGGATAATTACCATGCACGACTGGATTGAAGAACCTACATTTTCCATTTAAGTTATTTGGTCAAATAATGAATACAAATGTAACGATCCATGTGCAACTGCCATGATGGCTCTGACATTCCCTTTTATTCCTTGCAGAATGGTCACGTTATTTAAAACTATTTCTACCAACCAACGTGAGATTCCACATCGGTTAAGGAGGAGAACGAAACATTTTTTTTTTTATAAAGATGTGAAAACCTCCTCCTAAAGATATTTTTAAAACTTTGAGGGAAAACTAAAAAAAGACGATATTTGGTAGCAGTTGACTTGGGTGTTACAGTTTTGTTAGAGATTACCTACATAGAATTATTTCAAATAAAGCATGCTTAACTTTAAAGTTCTTATGAAAAAGAAAGTGTACCATATTGGTATAGATAGTAATTTTCAATTCTTTTTAAACTTTTATTAACCATCTTATGCTCTTATTCAGATATGATCCTGGTTCATTGATATATTTATGTTTTTGTGAGATATCACATCGATTGGGAAGGAGAATGAAATATTGTTTATAAGGGTGTGGAAACCTCTCCCTAGGAGACACGCTTTAAAAACTTTGAGAATAAACACGAGAGGGAAAATCGAAAGAGGTTCTTACGATCTTGTTCTCACTCACATGCTTCTTAATAAAAAATTTTAGAGATTACCCAAAATAGAATTGTTTCAAATAAAGCATGTTTAAAAGTTCTTATTGATTGAGCTATCAAAAGGAAAGTGTACCATGTTGGTATATTCTTAACCATCTTATTCTCTAGTTCAGATATGATCTCTGTTCATTTATATATTTCTCTCCGGAATATCTCAAGAAAATGTGTACCGAAATAATTTTAATAGAAAGTTGTGAAAATTTGAAAGAAGAAAAAATCAATAATTCAAGAGGTTTGAGTTGTATCAATAAATTTACTTACCAACCAGAAAAGAAATCAACAGCTCTATTTGCAGCTTCTATGTCGGCCGGAGTATCTGTTAACGGGACATACCAATCAGCCAGCACTGTGATGCCGATCACACCCTTTTGTGTTTTCTGCAAATCAAAGCCATAGAGAGCGGTTGAAATATGATTGAATTAAGTAAAAAGTTGGTATATTTGTTAGAACCTGATATTTGTCTCGATAAACTTTGACAGCATGAGCATGAGCAAGAATTAGGTTATGACCAACGATGTATGGTTCTGTGGCTGCATTCCCACCAAGACAATTGTGAATTTGCCACTCTGAACATCTACCAGGTGGATATTGTCCCACTGCATAACCCATCATGGTGTAAGTATTTGGTTCGTTTATTGTGATCCAATGCTTAACTCTATCTCCAAATTCTCGGAAGCAAACGTCGACGAAGTCCGTAAAATCTTTCCTGTAATTGAATTTTAAGTTTAGACAGTTCAGGCTCAACACTAGTAGATATTGTACTATTTGAGCTTTAAAACACGTATGCTAGAGAGAGGTTTTCACATTCTTATAACAAATGTTTCGTTGTCCTCCCCAATTGATGTGGGATCTCACAGTCGATTATAGGCTTTCCCTTTCGAGCTTCCTCTCAAGGTTTTTAAAACGCATCTGCTATGGAGAGGTTTTCACACTCTTATAAAGAATGGAGAGATTTTCACACCTTGATAAAGAATGTTCTCTCAAGGTTTTAAAAACGTTAATTCTAGAGACAAGTTTTCACACCCTTCTAAAGAATGTTCCCCAAGGTTTTAAAAACGTGTCTGTTAGAGAGAGGTTTTCACACCCTTATAAATAATGTTTTGTTATCCTCTCCAACAAATGTGGGATCTCACAATTGATTATAGGCTTGCACGAGTTATCCTCTCCAACCAATGGGGATCTCACGATCGATTTTTCACACCATTATAAAGAATGTTTCGTTATTCTCTCCAATAAATGTGGGATCTCACAATCGATTATAGGCTTGCACGAGTTATCCTCTCCAACCGATGTGGGATCTCACAATCGATTTTTCACACCCTTATAAAGAACGTTTCGTTATCCTCTCCAACAAATGTGGGATCTCACAATCGATTATATGCTTGCCCAAGTTATCCTCTCCAACCGATGTGAGATCTCACAATCGATTATAGGTTTTCCCTCTCAAACTTCCCCCTCAAAATTTTTAAAACGCGTCTACTAGGGAGAGGTTTTCACACTCTTATAAATAATATTTCGTTGTTTTCTCAAACCGACGTGGAATCTTACAATGTTTTTGCAAACACTTTCTAACAATGATGAAGATGAAAATTTGGCAACCTCAATATAAATTTACTTACACTATTCGAGAACTTAAGAAGCCTCCATATTCATCGACAAAAACTTGTGGAATTTCCCAATGAAAAAGTGTAACCAAGGGTGTGATGCCTACAAATCATAATATTTAGTGGTAAGTAAAGGAGAAAAGAGTAGTGTTCATACAAAATATTCAACAAAATTTGGTAGTTTTCTTTCTCTAATTTCAAAGTTATCACTTATCTAATCGATCTAACAAGTTCTCAATCAAATATTTTTGAAAAAGTTATGAAAAATTACGATAATACCAACCCTTTGAGATCATGTCGTCAATGAGATTATTGTAGTACTCGATTCCCTCTTTATTCAGACCTCCTTCCAAAGTTCCATCTACATTAATAAAATATGAAAAACGCTAATATTACAATCAATTAATGAGAATAGTACTCATATTACTTTAATAAACGAAAATTTCTCGAAATTATGAGTCGATAATTCCTTAATTACCTCGCAATATTCTCGTCCAAGAAATCGAGAATCTATAAGCATGAAAGCCAGTTTCTTGCATGAAGGAAAGATCTTCCTGCATTTATAAATATAAAAGTATGCGTCATTCTTCCAAAATTATTTTCTAAAACAAAATAATTAAGCTAATCATAATAAGATCCAAACAAGAGTTAGGAGCTCTCTACTCGATACATTCCTTTATTGTTAATACTAAGTTAAAAATAAAATTTTAGAAATAGAATTAAAATTTTGTTGTTAAATTTTTTTTATCCTCGGTGACGAACACCGTCTATTTACATCTTATAGGTTATCTCTAAATTTTTTAATATTAGTTTTACAAGTTCATGAATATTCTTGAAACATGGTACAATTTGTAAGGGTATTTTGAATTTTTTTTAAGTTTAAAATATTAATAAAACAATTGAAAATTCAAAGGTATATTTGGAACATTTTGAAAGTTAAAAGTAATTTTTAAACGGTATTAAAAGTTCAAGGATATTTTTAAATAAAGTATTACGGAAACATTTCAAATTTTAGAAGTATTCTTGAGATAAAGTACATGCAAATAGGTTCAAGTGTTACAAGCATTATAGATTAAAACTAAATCCTAGTTTTGGTTGCCCTCCTACAAACCTTGTAGCGATGGATCTGATCAACTGCTACATCTCCATTACTACGATCCACAATTCTCTCTACAATTCACAAATACGTAGTTATTTTTCATTTCTCAACCTTCCTCCAAAGATTATTAGAAACATCGATTATTTTACTTTCGAATAGCTCGTATTTGAGAATTTAAAAAATCAAATACCACAAGAATTTTTACTTTTCTCGACGTCAGGAAGGGTCGAGAGAAGAATGTGCGTTTCATTGCCAAAAATACGATAAAAATCTTGTGTCAACAAAAACGTTGCCATAGGGTTATAAGTATATCTCAATGAAATTAAGCTTATAAACACTATTTTAAAACAAAAAATTGAAAATGAAAGTAGTTCTTAAAAAGCTTTTGACTTATTGTTTGGAGAATTTGGCCAAAAATTGAAAGATGTCATAAAAAAAAAGTAAAGAATATATGCTAAGAGAATTAAAAAAGCACAATGAGAAAGACCTGGGTATTTATGAGTGTAGATATCCCAATTATTTATTCCTCTTGTTGAGATACCACCTTCATACTGCCAAGAACATCAACCAAAAAGAAACAGTGAAACCCACATTCCTTCATTGAATTTGGTACTTACAAAATGAAACTTAATACTCATTTCTTCACCTGGTAAGCTGAAGATGCTGCACCAAAAATAAAGCCTTCAGGAAAATCACTTCGTTTGATTTCGTGATTACTATCGTCGTCCTGCACTTCCACTACAAGAACACGAAGAAAGAGGAAGAAGACGATAACGCAGCCATCTTTGATACCCATCATCGCTTGTTTTTTTTATGTTTCTTTGGTATTGAGTGATTATTAGGAGAAGTGCAAATGTTAACATTCAAATCCATTATAAGACAACTCAGAGACTATAATGCCTATTAATGCATTAAAGTAAAGCGAGATAACATTCGGTTATTATTGTAACGAACCATCCGGATTTAGAATCCAGATTCGGCATCTAATAGCTCTGACATTTTTGCAATATGATCACTTTACTTACCTCAAGACCAACGTGGATCCTTTTTAGCATATTTTTCTCCTTACAGGTTTGTTAGAAAAATTAGTAGATGGTCAGCAAAAGCACACTTAACTTTGAAGAAGTTCATATGATTATCCACTCAATAAGAAGATAAACTTTATTGGTATATATATATATATATAAACTTTCAATTCTTTTAAGTTTTTCTTAATTATCTCATCTTCAGGATCACGCTCATTCGGATGAGTGTCGGTTCATTCACGTACCCTTCATTTACTCGGATACCACAATTATTAACCTCTATGTTTGAGTTATACTTTTCATAAGATCATATATTACGTTCTTAATAATAAAACTATCGTCTTTATTAGTTCAACAATGGTGGAATAATAAAATTATTGACTTTCAAGATGGTATTTAGTATCTTACCTACTAAGACAACTAGTAGAGCTAAAAAACACTTCTAGATAAAAATTTATAACAGTTATAAACCTTGATTTATGAAACTATGAAACAAAAAAATTGTTTATATGTTCAAGCCCACTCTTAACGAATATTGTCATCTTTGGACTTCTCTCAATATTTTAAAACGTTCTCTTAGGGAGGGGTTTCCACACCTTTATAAAAAAAATGTTTCATTTTCCTCTACTCAGATCTCACAATCCACCCTTTTAAAAGACCTCCTTACTAGCACACTGCTCTAAACCTGGCTCTTTTTGAAGTGTGAATAGTAATTTAAAACGGTCCTAACAAATGTGAAAATTTTTACGAAAAGGATTTTGAGGCATCAAAACTCTTTTACAAAAAAAGAAAACTAAAAACGAAACTGATATCAAACGAGCCTACACTAAGAAGCATCAAAATCATGATAGAGCAAAGAAAAATAATGTTAATGTAGACACTTAGAAAAGTAGAACAAGAAAGACCTGGGTGCGTGGGATTGTAGATATCCCAGTTCTTCATTCCCCCAGCTGAAACACCATCTTCATACTAATAAAACAACATTATAGAGTGAAACCCAAATTCCTTTGAATCTTGGCACTTAAAACTTAAAGTTCAACACATTTATCACCTTGTATGGAAAATCTCTTCGACTGATTCTGTGGGCAAGATCCTCCTCCCGTTGTGCTCCAGCAAGAAGAACTACTAAGTTGAGGAAGAACATGATAATATAGCCATCTTTAGTAGCCATCTTCACTTGTTTTTGCTAAGTGTTTGGATGGTGTGTGATTTTCATTTCCCCACCTTGCTTCCTTTATATAGAGAGATAGCTCATACACAAAAATATTGGCTTCCACCTCTTCTCTCCCCCATATTCCCTCCGTACCCACATTTTATTCTCTCTTGCTCTTTTGTTTCAAGATTCGAACATGTTTCATTGTAGAAGTACAATTTGTGTTAGCTAGTAAACTATATCTCTAGGTCATTCATATTATACTTTATTAAAACATTTCAAAATCTATTGAGACATCATGTAACACCTAATATCAAGGTGTTGGATTAGTATCCGATACTTTTGTGCCCGACATTCCTCTACATCCCCTGCGATATGGTCGTGTTACTTACTTCCTACTTCTATAAGTGAAGACTATTTTCATAGACTAACACATGTTCTTTCAGTATGTTTTGTCATCACTCATATGCATCCAAGAAAAATTCTCAAGAGATTACACATCATAGAATTGCTTCAAGTAAGACAAGTTTAACTTTGGAGTTCTTACAATTGGGCCTTTAAAAAGGAAGCTATACCTTTGTTGGTATATTTAGTACCTTTTAATTCTTTTAAGCCTTTTTTAGTTATTCTATGTTGAGTATTGTTGAAGGAAGTCCACATTGCCTAATTAAATGGATGATCCTGAGTTTATAAGTAAGGAATAAGTCTCCATTGGTATGGGTCTTTTAGAGAAACCAAAAGTAAAACCACCCGAGCATATGCTTAAAGTGGACAATATCATACCATTGTAGAGGTTCTGTGGTTTCTAATATAGTATCAGAGTCATACCCTTAACTTAGTCATGTCAATAAAATCCTCAAATCTTGAACAAAGAAGTTTTGAGTCTCGAAGATGTAGTCAATAGTGACTCAAGTGTCGAACAAAGAGTGTACTTTGTTCGAGGGCTTTAGAGAAAAAAGTTGAAGCTCGATTAAGGGGAGACTATTCGAGGGCTACATAGGCCTAAGGGGAGGATTGTTGAGGTATAAGGAATGTCTCTGTTGGTATGAGGTCTTTTGGAGAAACCAAAAATAAAACCATGAGAATTTCTACTCAAAGTAGACAATATCATACAATTGTGGAGTGGAGAACCATAGTTTCTAATTCTATCTTCAAGAATACTCTCATTCGAATATGGTTTTAGTTTATTCCTATACTCCTTTTTTATTACTTGGGTCCATTATTAATATGATTAATTTGATCCCAAAACAATACATTGTACTCTTTTCAAGGATCTCCCTTGTTTAGAATATAACTTTTGAAATTGATCCCTTTTTTTCTTCGTTAAAACTCTATTTATTTTCCACATCTTTCTATTAGTATATTGATTATGTTTAGAATCTCAATAATTCTTCTTTCACTAAATGCCTGAAACCTTAGCTCGTAGTCTTATTCTTTCTTCCATTCTATAATTTCAAAGGATCCTACATGTTCTTCTATTATTCCTCTTCTTTAGTTTCATTCATTCTTTCTTTCCTTAATTTCAAATGATTCCCCATATTCTTCTATTATTCCTCTTCTTTACTTTCGTTCTTTCTTCCTTTCCTTAATTTCAAATGGTTCCTCATTCATCTTCTTCTATTATTCCTCTTCCTCGTGTTTTTTCTTCTATCATCTCCACTTTGCTCAGGGCTTTCTCACAGTCATTATATTACTATCCTTCTTTTTCTCTTCAATCTTCTTCTACACACTTCTGTTTTGGATTCTTTTTTTTTAATATAGCATGTGCTCAATATTTGAGTGGAACTAGCTGTCCAACTTTTTTTTGGAAAAAAAAAATTAATTTGTAGGATTTTATTGAAGATATTAAAAGCTGAATTTTAAGTAGTAATAGAAGTATTCAGAAACTCGAGAAAAAAAATATATAATAAAATAGTAGAAATAAAGGAAAAGTGATATGAACCGGGACATAAATTATGTAATATAAAATTTAAGGAAGATGCTAAGAAAATATTGTCAAAATTATCAAAAGATGTTTCAATTCATGCCGAAGAAGAATCAAGTATCATTGTTATAAATTTTGGGTGGATTATAATTTAAAACTATAGTATTTCTTTAATGCATTTTAAGACTTATTTACATGATGGTTAATTATGATCATAAAATATACTGGTTAATTATGGTCATATGATGGTTAAATTTTTTATTTTGAGTCTATATAAAGTAATGTATGTTATCTTTGTAAAAGAGATTTGAAAAATGTAGTAAAAGAAGCATTTGTGCTTTTCTTTAGTCAATGACGCAATTTTATGTACTTTAGGTTGCATGTAGAATCATTGAAGCTTACATTATCAATTGTGAAGTGATTTGAATTTCAAACAAGTGTTCTTACCTTGAGATAAGCACTCATACCAACCATTTTCTCATTATTAGCTCCATTTGTTTTAATTAGTAAGCATGAAATAGTTCATAGGGCAGATAGCTAACCCTAATGCTCCAGCAATTCGGAAAACAAACTTTTGGGAATGATATGATAATTTTAATCCACAAAAAATCCTCACCAATTTTGATAATTAACAAACAAACCAATGCATAATTAAAAAAGAAGACCCATCTTATTATTTTTCAACGAAAACACAAAAATAAAAACGACAAGACAAGGATTTGTTATTGCAATTTATTTAATACTTATTTCCACTAGCAGTCTTTAAGAAAGTTGCAAGAACATGTTGCAACGACACACAGCAAACGACAGGAAGTGGTTGGCGAAACATGTTCATCCCTTGAGGAAATAAGAGAACCATTTTAGTGAATCCTTTGGTGTTCTGGTCAGGTTGTTATTGCGATCGATGTAGACGAGGCCGAAGCGCTTTGTATATCCATCTGACCACTCAAAAGTGTCCAGCAATGACCATGCAAAGTATCCATTTACCCTTACGCCATCCCTATAATTTTTCCAAAGTTTTGTAAGAACATTATTAATGACAAAGAAACACAACAAAACACTATATTTAAACCAACAAAAATGAGGTCTGTTTGTTTAATGTTGTTTGTTGTAAGTCCCAAGTCTAGGATGGGATGGTTCTGAGATTTCCTTACTTACCTTCCCTACTACATGATTACTTATTTCTTTGAGCTTCTAAGAGAGAAAACTATCCTAACTGATAGGGTGTGGAAACCTTCCTCTAGCAGACGTGTTTTAAAGCCTTGAGTAGAAGTCCGAGAGGAAAAGCCCAAAGAGAACAATATCTGCTAGCGATAGATCTGAGTCATTACAAATGATATCAAAGCCAAACACCGGACGATGTGTCAACCTTCTCGCTGTTCCCCGAAGGGGGGTAGACATGAGGCGGTGTGGCAGTAAGAACGCTGGCCCCAAAGGGGGTGGATTTGGAGAGGGGTTCCACATCGATTAGAGAAAGAAACGAGTGCCAACGAAGACGCTAGCCCCAAAGGGGGGTGGATTGTGATGTCCCACATTGTTGGGGAGGAGCACTTTATAAGGGTGTGGCTTCCACTAAGATATTGTCTGAATATCACAAATATTAAATAGATGTAAAAGCCCAAACCCACTAGGGAGAGATTTTCACACCCTAAGCAATATTTCGTTCCCCTCTCTTACTACGTGAAGTGGGATCTCACAATCCACCCTCTTTGGGGACCCAGCCAGCATCCTTGCAAGCACACACCGCTTGCCTAAACCCACCTTTCCAGACCATTCTAATAAATATTTTGTTTCCCTCTCCAACTGACGTGGGATCTCACAATATCAAACATTAAATTTCCAAATACGAATATGGACGAAAATGGGTGAGTAGGAAAAAGAGAAGAGAATCTCTCATTCAGTTACTTACATCATTGCTTGGTGAAGATAAAAGAGATGTTTCATTTGGTAATTAATTCTCTTATTGTCAGAAAGTAGATTATGAACATTAGGATCATCATAATCAAAGAAACCTGCACATGTATCATTTCATTAATAAATAAGGTTTTTAATAACAATTTCTCTTTTTTCTTCATTTGAAAAAAAAAAAGAGCTTTTTTTCGATACCATTTTTTGTGATGTAGATAGATAGATTGTTATAATCATTTTTCATGATTATCAACAATTTTTGCAATCCCTCGGGATAAACTGAAAGCCAAGACGTCGCATTCATCTACCATTGAAAGAGACGATTAGCCAAGTGTGATTAGTTAAGTTCATAATTGACGAAAATTTGCATAAATTACCTTTGGTCTAAGTGAAACTTCACGAAACGATCAGAGCAAATCGAAGCACATCATACAAAATTTAATGAGAGATTTTTAAAAGTTATGAAAGATAGAAAAATAATTTTACAAAATGTTTTAGAAAAAGGATAGGATTTTGAATGATATAATATGAAGCCCATACTTGAAGTATTTACACCAGAATCGGTAAACCAGGAAGGGTATAGGACATGAGCGCTGGAATCATCGATGGCATATGCAGTTGTGTAGTAGTTGAGTCCAAGAAAGTCATAGCTGCCTTTGATCAAAGTGGTTTCGTCTTATGTGAATGTGGGCAGTCTATCTTTTACACGCAGCCTCATACTTTGTGGGTAATCACCATTCACAATTGGATTGAAAAACCTATATCATTCATTTAATTTGGTTAACTATTGAGCTGATGATTTAGGTTAAGCGAGGAATGACATTTTCGGCCGCTCTAAATTTTCGTGATAAATAAAAATGACCAAAATATCTTCACACTATCATTACTTTTCGATGACTGCCATTAGCAAATGGCACTAGTGACCTATGATTCAGAACTTGAATTTGATACTTGATAGCTTCGACATTCCCCTATGATATAACCACGTTACTTATTTCTTGTTTCTATGAGCAAAGATTTGTTAGAAACTACAAATCTCTATAATGATATGATATTGTCCACTTTGAGCATAAGCTCTCGTGGCTTTGCTTGAGTCATCATGTTTGTATATGTAATGACTTTCAATTATTTTAAAGTCTTTTTTAGTCATTCAATCCTCAAAATTGCTCTTATTCAGATGTGATCTCTTTTCATTTATATACCGAATATTAAAAAAT